TACCCCCCCCCCCCCCCTGCTGTTTCAACCCTATGGACCACCACTATTGTTAATTCATTAACACACGACTATAGTAGCTTAGCCGAGAGTAAAAAGTGAACTCAAATCAGCTTGTGAAAAAAAACTTTCTGAAGTATCCCAACTGCAGGAATTAAAACCATGCATGGTAATGTTTGTCCTCCGAAGTTTTGTGCTTGGGCATCCCAAATCCGGAAACAACTCAGTGGTTTCAACATAGGTTCGATTGAGGTCAAAACAATGAGTGACTGCATGGCATGAAGAACAAAGGGAATTTCAAAAACAGTGGGAAACTAGATAATGGTTATTCCTATTGTTATAGTGATATTCATTCCTACACTAAAGACAACAAATTTGAACTGTCAATGTTGATGATCAGAAACAATAATGAATACTATACAAAGGTTAATGATAGCTCGTCCACTGTTTTAGTTAAAGTTGACAAAGAGAACAATGTGGTGAAAAGCTGTGATGACGATACTTTGGTTGGAAGTTGTTGTACGATGTTGGACATCTTCAATTCTCTTATCAATGTCTTGAACGTGCCTGTTGGCAAAGCTTTTATGATGCTATCTGAAAATCCTGCCAGGTAAGGTTGTACGGTAGTTTTAGCAGTACATATTCGCATTCTTTTTCTCAGAGTTTTTTTTAACCATATGAAAAAGGAAACTATGACATGTTAAATAAATGGAGAATGCAATGTACAATATAAAATATCTATGATATTCTATTTTGAATAGTTTTTTGCTAATATAGGTGTTGATGCTTGCGATGTTACTCTGAGTGTATATCCACACCGCGGGCAGGCTCGAAAAATATGCCTGGCCACGGTGGGAATCGAATCCACGACCTTTGGAATACTAGCCCAATACTCTGCCAACTGAGCTAGTATTCCAAAGGTCGTGGGTTCGATTCCCACCGTGGCCAGGCATATTTTTCGAGCCTGCCCGGTGTGGATATACACTCCAGAGTAACATCGCAAGCATCATATTCACCTGAGTACATTGCACTAACACAGAAAAAAATCAATATAGGTTTTGTTTATAATTTTTCATAATTGTGCAAATTTTTACTGAACCCAAAACTTCATTGTTGACAAGCTTTTTAAATACAGAGCATTAACAAATTGTTGGAACAACTTGGTATAAGTTTGTTAACTCATAATTTATAAACATTATAGAGCAAGTCTATATAGCACTCCTGTTACAACTTTTCAACAAGTTGGTGATAAGCACTGCGAGAACAATCTAATGCCTGTAATACTTTCTGTTTGTGGAAACACCACGTAAATTTATTACTGCAAAGCTTTCCATCCGTAAGCCCGGATCTTCATCAGTGCTAATAATACTGATGAAGATCCGGATCGAAAGCTTTGCAGTAATAAATTTACGTGGTGTTTCCACAAAAAAAAGTATTATATGTTTTATCGCCATGCAAACCTACAAAGAATCTAATACCTGTAAGTTGTAAGCCACAACACGACTTAATTTTCACTTACGAAAATTCCACATGATCACATAGTTAAAGTGTGCCAAAATAAATCACACGTGAATTTGGAACACTCTTCCTAATTTATCAAAATTTTCTCATTTTGTAGATTTGCAAAGTTGAATAATGTTGGGACAATAGAAGTCGGAAAAGATGCAAATCTCGTAATGTTTGATCACAATTACAATCTGATGAAAACCTTCGTTGATGGAAGGATGGCATTCCGAACATCGCTATGTAGAAAGAAGAGTGTGGTATCAACGGAAAGCTTTGATGAATCTTTCAATATGTAGAATCTATGAAAAGGACTTTGAAATATCATAAGAAATATCATAAGCGTGCACTAATTGACACAATATTCAAAGCTATAGCGTGATAAAATTTATACAATTGTGTATCTGTCATCGTAGCTAGAGCTGCTCGCATTAATAATTTTATTCTAATGTTTACGGCTGCTATTATTTTTGAATACTGGAATTGTTAATTGTGGGATTCCTGGAAAGGTTTTGTTCTTTCGCGCATCAAATGCAACAGTGAAATACGTTTGAAGGGACAACTCACTATTGTAACGATTTATCTATACGTAAAGCATTCTATAATAGTGTAAATAAGTAGGTCATAGCATGAAAATTGTATATATGGCAAACTGTAGTATCTAGGGCTTTTGCATTGTAAACACATCTGTTGTGGATAAATAAATTAAATTTTCTTGCAATACACGCGACTAGTTTTTTGAACTCATTTTTCAATTTCGTAACGACATATTTATCATGACAATGAACATCCAAGCTCCATACCCAAACTTTAATGAATTAAATTTTTTATACCCCCTATCTAAACTTTAACTCTATACATGTAAGTACATATATGTACATAATATTATTAACTCATAAGTAATTATATAGGTTCCAAATCATTTGGTTTTTTAAGTATAATGCAATGAACTATCAAAATTGGAATATTAATATAATACAATATATCACACATCTCATCCCTGGATGCTTTCCATTGACATGGTCTGACCATCTCACCATGGTCCTTTCTGATGGAAAGATCCAGGTCAATTTTTCTTTTAAATCTGGCCAAAATTGTCCTCCCATATCAAACACGTGTCAAATTCACAAGTTTGGTACTCCACAGCACTGAACAATTTGATCAATCTGACTGGTCTGACCATATTAACGAAAAACACCCCATGTTCAGTGTCAAATACTAATTATTTCTATTAGCATGCTGTGGAGTTTGACCGTCACTATCGCCACCATCACCCCCATTGGCAGAGCCTATCACCAATCTCTGAATGTTTCTCAGATCAACTGTTGGATTTGCCTCGGCTGACGTTGGTCTGTTGTTTGTGGTGTCATTTGCAACACTTTGGGCTGTGTCTGATCTTTGATTACCAAGTCGTAATCCAGCAACGCCTTTCTTTTCCGCATCCATAACATCTCGTTTAATCCTTCGTCTACGACCCGGTTCAGTTTTACGAAATTGTATCATGTTATCAAAATCAACAAAATACAAGAAACCGGCAATAAGTAGCTCACATGATCGTTTGCCATCTTTATGTGCTTTCTCCAGTTCGGCTGATGATGATTCCTCGTACTGCCACCACCCGTTACGACCCTCGTAGTACCACTGATATCTATCTGTATCCTCCGACGATTCCTCATGTCCTTCGTCACCAGATGTCTTTGCTTCAAAATGGACAATTTCTGGATGGTCAAAATATTTTAAATCGACATCTTGTCTGCACAGTGCACACCGTCGGCTACGAAATGCTACGCCTTTGATGCATAAAAAGCAAAATATATGGCCACACTTTAGTTTGACCGGTAATGTATATGCTTGTAGACATACAGGACAGTCAGGAATGCTTTCTTGTTTATTTTCACCATGTAAATGTGTAGCCTCTGCAGAAAACAATAAATGATTTAGCACTTTCACAAACTTTCCAATAATTTGAGTCTAAACCGTAGCCCTCTATTGGTGGGTTTCATTGTTATGGGGAAGAGTACAATTATAAAATACCAGTCAATTGGGATCATGCCTATTATCACAAAAAAAACTTTCCATCATGGGTTTTTGAATGTAGAAACTGAACCTTACCATTATTGGTTATTATAGATTTCCCATATCAGTATCCAACTGAGTATTCATAGTTTAGTACCCCCCCTGAAAATCCAGTATCCCATTTCGTTCTGGATACTGGTTACCATTTAAGTATTATACCCTGTCCCATCCAAATAAGTATAGGTAATCATGCGATGGCGAGTACAATTAGGGATTAATAGTATGAGTGATGTTTGGAAATTTTGCCAAAATTGGACGAGCCGCAGGGGCAAATTTCCAAACATCACGAGTACTATTAACCCCTAATTGTACGAGCAACATCGCATGATTACTTGTTTATTATTAGCATGACAAAAATAATTGGATACTTCTCAATGTCAACATCATATTCTCTCGCCAAAGCCTCCAAGACTTTCAACCAAAATTTAGTGTTTTTGTTCGTATTTTCATTTAGTTCTTTTGTTAAAGAAAAATTTGGTGCTTTTGTTCGTATTTTCATCTAGTTCCTCTAGCGCAATTTCATTTCACATTTGTGTTTAAAAATACCTTTCTGCCATTTTGTTTGTTTTGGGAAAATCATTAATTGTACTGCAGTACAATTAATGAAATAACAACCAATCAGCATCAAGTACTTTTGTCATGCTAATAATAAGTCTCCATAACTCTCACTGTTACAAATTACAATACTAACAGGAGATTCAACAGTCAACAACAACTTAACTCATTAATACAAAAAAATGCACATAATATGAGGAAAGGCTTGGGTGGCAAACTCATAGTATCCAAAAGCTATCAGGAGCCTGTCAGAGGTGCTTAACATTTTCCTAATGTTTGAAATTTTCTTAGTATCCAGTTGGGATACAAGTTATTCATAGTTTGGTATCCAAAACCAAATTTTAGTATCCCGTGGATATCGGTGTACTGCAAATTTCAGACCTTGCATATGGTAAATTAGTAAAAACCATGTTGTTTAATATTTACCATTAAAAATTCACTACATTTCATAGTATTGTGTTTAACGCTATAGCAGAGTGATTTGCCGTGGCGTACCAACTATGGACCACTATGTTTGACACTCTGTATGCAAATCAATACGCTACATTAAATTTGCTGTAGCATCATAGTAGCAGGCTTAAGCAAGTGACGTTTTTGACAACACGGATGTTGACCGGAAGCAAATTTGACGTTATCAACCAATCAACATTCTTGACCCAGTCTTTTAATTAACGTTACTCATGCCGTTCATGTTGTCAAAAACGTCGCTTGCTTAAGCTCGCTAGTGTAAACATGGCGTAAAGGCTCTTTTTTACTCAGTGCAAAACCAACTTGCAAGACTGCTGCAAGTACTTGGGCCATTCCATTTAAAATCCACACCCTCCTGTTGACTAGTTTACTGATTTTAGACCCCTTCGGAAACGGTTTTCCAGAAGACTCCCTCGGAAATTCGCTATTTTTTTTTAGAACTCCCTCGGAAATTTCCAATTTTTCTCAAGCCCCTTGGAAATACCTGTTGACGTGGTTCCATATTTACGATAGACCCCCTCGGAAATTTTCGGGAAATGATTTACTCCCCTCGGAAATTTATTGAAAATCTCGTCAACAGGGGTGTGTGTATATTAAATGGAATGGACCCTTGCGTCTAATTAAAATAAACTGTCAAGCATTGTGATTGGCCGAAAATACTTGCAGCAAGCTTGCGAGTTGGTTTTTGCAACAAGTGGAAAAGAGCCGTAAGAAACATAGGAAATTTTTAACGGAATGCTAGCCATATCGTTATAGTGTAAACACAGCCTTTGTTGAATAGGTAGGTTCAGGGTTTGGCATTAAATAATTTGAAATTAATCTAAAATTACTAACATATTTTTACCATCAGAACAACATTGAAGCTTTGAGTTGGCCTGACGTTCTATAATCGCTCCCATTTCTATTTCCCTGCAGCTACAAAGGCAGTCAAGGTTACTGATTCGAGTGATTTCAGGCGTTCACATGAAAAGTATTTACATCCATGATCCATTCCCACCCTTGGTTTTACTGTCGGCTTATCTATTCTAAAACATTACCTAAGTCTTCTTTTTTGACTTCTTTACATTCTTCACTATCTTTATTCCCTTCTTCCTTCGATACTTGCTCAGCCATGCATAGAAAACGCTCAATATTTCACCAAATAAAAACTCGAAAAATCGAACTCAAGTACTCAAACCGTTTGTTGATGAATGATGAATTATTTACCGGTAAAAAGTGACTTGTTGATAGCGAGATAAAATTTACGCCGACTTTTGTGGCGCCCATTCAAAACTCGACTTTTTTGCTCCCCCCGGAAATCGAAAAATTGCAAAAAAACTATTTTCCTTGCATGGTTAGTTGTAATACAGCATTTATTCTTGAATAATTATAATATTACTGTGTCATATATTCATAATTTTTATGCTTTTGCAACTAAAATCTACGAAATATAAATATAAACATGCTTTACATGTATGACAATATACAGTTCATTACCAATGTAAATTTGTCTTAACTCTTTCAAGGTTCTTTTATAAAGCTAAGCAAATTTTGTTCACCGACTAGCTTCAAAATTTGCTTTTATTTGTGATGTTACTTTTTTCTATAAATGATAAGAATGTATCTATTTGATGATCCGCTCCCCCCTGGCCGAAGCTGTTTTCGCGGATATCTATCGCGACTATTTCTACGAGATAAAAATTGACATCTTGTCACAGACACGCACACTAACAAAACAACAGATGCACGAAATTAGCGAAGTGTTTGTCTCGGATTTCAAGCGTGGAAAAATGTCCTTTGGTTTAAAAGATCTAAGCAGCAGATAAACCGAGGCAGATTACATTATATGTTAGAAAGACGAAGAAGCTATAATTATATATATACCAAAGATGTACTGTTTACAATGGCTGTTGCCTTTGTTGCTGATTCCCAAACCAGCGAACCCGTTTCTGCTACAAAACCATTCAATGTTTATGACTTTGTATCTGGCGAGTTTCTTTCTCGAAAGAAGGCCTTGTACGATCTGTACGATTGTATTTGTGGCAGCAATCGCACTCATGTGCTACAGTGGACTAGGGAATTGCTTTTTCTTTCTGGAATGCGAAGACAATACGTAATAATTATCATTAAATCGTGAAACACACGTAGTAGCGATTGAACAGAATTATTTCCCTAATTTATACACCGCAAGACTTGAAGACTTTAGAAATAGTTTAGAAGATTGATTTCAGACCTGGATTGAAAGTAAATTGGTGCAAGATTCATGGTACCAACTACCATGCACGTAATGAAGAAAATGGTTTTTATACTGGAATATGAATGACTGTTGTATGGTACCAACAAATGGACTCACAAATGACATGAACTTCTCATGAACCAATAGGAAACGGACTTTGACTGAGCAATGTATTAGAGACCTTTTATAGTTTGACATTTATGGCTGGATCAATCACTACAATTGAAACATGAATAAGCTCATTCAAAAGCCTTACTTTCAAATGCGAATCGAAGTCTGCCATTTGCCGTTAACAAAAGTCCCTATTATATCATAAATGTCTGTTAAAAGACACTTTCTAAATTTTCTTAAATTCACATAAAACAATAGCTTGAAATGGCGATGACAATGTGATCCTAAAGTTAAATCATTGTAACCATTGATTGCCTCATGGGCACTTCATCCAACTTTGTTAGTGTCTGGATAAAAAGTTAGTTTGAATAACATGCAACTAAAGGATAACTTCATTTGATTTGGGAATTGTCTGTTGGTGGGTTCTCAGTACGCATTACGGGGCAGCAGATGTCACATCAACTTCCAGGGTTCTATCTCACTCAGAGTTGGCATATGCCTTAATTTTACTGACAAAATGGGTACTTTTTGCCAACAAAATGGATGTGATTTTGATGCGGTTAGAGCATGGTCAATGCTGTGTTAAAAATTGTTATTTTGGGGAGCAGGGGGGTCAAGGTTCACCAACATATTCTGCAAGTTAGTGTTGAGTGAGAACCATCTATCTAGAATCGGTCAATATGAGATTTAACTAAACTAGCCGAGAAACAAGTATAGTCTATTTATAGGCAGAATGAATTTTTTGAAGTAAAAATGACCATTGTAATTCTGGAGATGTCCAACAATATCCATCGAGTGGTCCAAAATTAGTACTGGTCCAGTTGTCAGCAGAGCTATATACTTTGTAGTTTGTACAGCATATGATTAAAAATTTAGATGTTTTTTTCTCCAAAGAATCTCTCTATACCTACCTATTCACTTATTATATACCTAACTGGTATCAGTTCCTCCATTTTGATCTGTAGTTTTTAGGATCCGACTATTTGGCAATGCCCATGGCTCTTAACCATTGAATCTCGTTAATACGGTCACATTTTTTTGGCCGTATTAACTCTACATAAGGGGCGGACCATTAGAAATCCCGGGAGGGGGTGTGTGTGAAAATTCCCCCAAAAAAATTCGTGCAAAGGAAAATGCCTGGAAAAAAAATTTGTGCAGCCATTACGTCAGAGAAAATAAATTCTTGCAAGCAAACAGCGAAGTACAAATAGTCTTGAAAAAACATTTGTGCAGGGGTTAAATGCATTAAAAAAATTCCTGCAGAGACACAAGACTGAAAAAAAAATTTGTGCCGCAAAAATTTTATAGCCCCCCCCCCTCCCGGGATTTCTAATGGTCCGCCCCTAACATCTGTATATAACAACAACTGTTGCAAATTACCAAATTTTGTAACAAATCACAATACCTCATATTATGTGCATTTTATAACCAGGTGCTGAATGAGAAAAACGAGCTCTCCAGATAGGGTACTTAAGGCTAGCATATGTATGCAAGCTTGCTCATCTAGAAAACAATTCTAGATCATTTAATTAAAGCTACCCAAAGAGCTACCCAAAGATTCACCATCTCTGGTTAATACCACATGAATATAAAGTCACGTCCCACAGGGAGCCCAGTGTTTATAGCGTTACATATATAAATATATAGCTCAGTGCATTTATATAGCTCAGTGCTACGAGATTGAAAGCCCCCCGGCTCTTATTGTACACAGAGCAATGCCTGTGCGCGGGCTAGCATGGCATATTGGCTCTGGGGAAATTGAATTTTTCCTGTGCTGTGATTGGTTTAACGTTTATCAATTCATCCGGTTGTCAATTTCCCCACCTAAACCCCAACCTAACCCTATTTTAAAAATAGAATAAAAACGGAAATCTTATTTTGAAGTATACTATCTAGCAATTGCCATTTCCCCAGAGCCAATGCCATCCTAGCCCGCGCACAGGCATTGCTCTGGGTACGAGATTGGGGGCCTGTGACGTCTCTCGCGTTCTCGATATGAAACCTTAAACCTTGAAATCCGAGCTTCAAATACCAAATTAAGTATCGACATATAAACAAATCATTTAGATAAGAAACCAGGAAAGCATTATCAGCCACGGGTTTTACGACCAGTTCAAAATTGACAACAGTAATATTATATCGAATTATAATCTTCATGATGAAAAATAGAGTATACGGTACCTGCAAGTATTCAATATCCTCCTTGTAATGCTAATGTAAAGATATTTTTTGAAATATTGGTCTAAGCTATAAATTAGCCGTGCGTCAGCGCACAGGTGCTAAAATTTTCAACAAAAGTGTTAGCTTGCCACTAAGCGGTTGGATTAGGACAAATTTTTCGGGTAGACAGAACAATCTGGGGGATTTTTTGTGTGGACAAATCACAGCCGGAAATCGAGTGGATTTGCGCAAATACAAACCCACATGATCTCTTATAACGCACATCCTGCTGAGGAGAAACATTATTTAAGTTCATTATTCGGGAAGCAACAACGCCTTTAATTCACAATTCAAACGCCGCATTGTATTTAGATTTCGTGTGAAAGCCACCTCGAAAATTATGGAGAAAGTAAAGGAACGTATGAAACAACTCAAAGATGCAATTGAGGACGCTCAGCAGCGAGAAACGGACGCAAAGAATGCAATCAAAGAGTTAGACGCGAAGGTTGACATTTGGGAAGGCGAGAAGACAACTTTACTAAGCAGGATTAATGTAGTGAAGGCTGAATACGAAAAGATTTCAGAACGGCTTGAAGAAAGTGAAGCGAAATTGGATGACGCTGAATCGAGGACCGAGGAATCCGAAGTGCGTAGAAAAAAATTAGCCGAGACAGAGGTAGATGACTTCGAGCGATCTGAAGAGATTGAGAATACTTTAAAAGCGGCAGCGGTGTCGAAAGAGAACGCGGACCATTTGCTTGTCGACGCCGAGCGCAAAGAGATCGTCCTTGAGGGTGATGTCGCGCGCATTCAAGAGAAATACGAGAAATTCACGATGCAAGCCGACGATTTGCAAGAACGCTTGGACAGCTACACGAGCGAAATACGCGAGTTAGAAGAGAACGATCGCGAAGCTTCGGACCGTGAGAACGTGAGCGAGGAGAAAATTAAATTTCTGGAGAAGCAAATTCGAGAGGTCGTAAGCACCGCCGAAACACACGAACGAAACGTGGGGAAACAGGAGCGATTGCGAGATAAGCTTAGCGACGAAATTTGCACCTGGAAAGAAAGACGCGAAGAAATTCGTCACGAGATGGAAGAAGCCATGGGTGGACTTCTAGACGATGAATAAGTTTTGAAATTCACTTGTATCGAAGTATCTCAAAGAATTTAGAAAATTTGGATGGATGTTAATTCATAGTCGACCCCCAATTGATACTGTCAGGAAATTTTATTTCATATAATACGACTTACGTCAGAATGGTATTTAATAGCTAGCGAATCACTAATACTGTTTTATTCTAGTCTCTTCAAAAATATATTTTTGAAGTTTAAAATACATTCTTGGAATTATAGAATTTAGATATCAGATACAAAGCGTATATGACATTCAAGACGATATTTAATAGTTGGTATATCTGTACTGTAGGAGTTTAGTACACTACAGTGTGGAGATTAACTAAAAGTTTGTATAAATGTTTGCAATAGGTATAAAACAAACTTTTTTGATGTTGTATAAAGCTTGACTGCTTGATTACTATACACGTGGGATATAAACACATTCCAAGCATAAATTGCGCAAGCATGCCGAATGAGATTAACTAGTATTTTGTAACGTTGCGCGATCACCCGTTTCGTTCCTTTCCAGACTTAGTTACGGAGGAATGAGGATTGTAAAGTTCAATTCGAGGTTCAAGTAGTGTGCGAGGCCCTTACTTATATAGCAAGCGCTGATCATCGATGCTGTCGATACACAGTTCTGTGTGTATAAAACTCGGTCAAATTGCCATATAGAATCCAACAGGTGATTAAAATACTCGTCAGTATTTAGTCTTTTAGGTTTACTATGTTGTAATAATTAAATGTTGACTTTGAAGGAATGATTGGTCTCTAAATTTGGCGGCTTCCTCCAACTTCGTTTGTTTATTTTCTGGCTGTATTGATTGAGTGGATGTTTTGAATATAATTCAAAGGAATGTAAACTTTGCTCACCATTCGAATTCTGTCGTATAGGGATGGGCTTATGAGGTCAACCACAAGAATATTTTGGGTTCCTGCATGTACACCCTACGTCTAATATGCCACTACCCACACTAGGATCGGATATGCCTTTGACAGGGTTTTCAAAGGAGTAACTCGGAAAGAGAATTTGTTGGTGTAAATACACCATAGAGAAACTCACGAGAAACTCTATGGAACTGTTCTTTCAGACTGTAAATGCGATTTGTCAAAATTGATAGATCTAGTAACTTGCTATATTATTTGTGGTAACCGAATCCATACTTTGACCAGGGGGTTGATTTCCGGTTTAGCTCTGCTTCGCCTACAATCACTTTCAGAAGTTGTTGGGACACATGTAGTTTTAGATTGTAAGTGGATCACTACAGTTTTTTACACACAATACCGCTCCCCCCCCCCCCCCCCCCCAATCAATTTTGCCCCAACCAAAACACATCAAACCTGACGAAGGAAATTGGACACTAACACTGATGACAGGGGGGGGGGTTGACGTTTGTTGAAATTCAAAGGTTTTGTGGCATCTGTTCCAAGACTTTTGAAACTGATTGTAGTTACTTAATCCTTGATAAAGCAGAAATTTAGATTAAGTGTAATCAAGTGTGTAAGTGGGTGTGTACTAATCATCTTGAATAGACCTTATGCATAATGACGTCACAGGCCTTGATGCTCGTGAAGAATACTGGTCCTAGTAGTCATCATAGATAAATAACCATATAAGTCCAATAAGGAACATGAGTTGATGTAATTCCATGAATTCCTGATTGACTATAACAACCATAATTTCCGGTTAAACCAAACTGAATTTGGGTTCATACAACCAAGAACCTAGAATCAGATGTTGCGCGCACTACGTGGTCATTGGTGGAGACAGCCTGTGGTGGTTTGGTGGGCTCCGTCCGCTCCGACGGTAAATGCTAGGATAAATTATAATTAGAATACAGTCGAACCTCTATTAAGCCCTCCATTAAGCGGCCACCCTCTATTAAACGGCCACATATCGAAGTCCCGAATTTTTTGTAATACAAATACTATAAACTATCCCTCTATTAAACGGCCACTTCTATTAAACGGTCGCGGCCACCCAAAGAGCGATCCCAAATGATGTTTTATGTCAATTTTTACCTCTATTAAGCGGCCAGCCTGCAGGATTTACTTGGCGCAACACCTGTCAAGAGAGCCGAAAATAAAAGTCGAGCTAATTTGCATTATTTGTCAAATTAGGCTCAAAAGCATTGACTACGCCCAGGGTCTATTATTTGCGTACCTCTATTTAGCGGCCACCTCTATTAAGCGGCCGCAAAGCCGATCCCCGAGGGTGGCCGCTTAATAAGAGGTTCGACTGTAGTTCATATTACACGAACCTGACCCTGAGGTGAAAGTCATCGGCCTCTACCAAAAGTACTTTACTTAGTACAACCGTTCTGCACCCGTACATTGAATACCGGTCGCATAGATAAAGGGACATTCATTTCGCAACCACTCATGCACCAAAAGCCTTCTTGTTCCCTTTGGAATCTTTGACAATGTGTGCGCACAAATATGTATGCAGTAACAAATGGATCATACCAGGGGCGGATCTAGTCTCATCTGCAAGGAGGGGTGCAGGTTTTCCATGCTGAGTGGTGCATGAGGGAGCCTTACTGCCCACTTTTCTCTGCAGTCTCAACGCTACTAACCCAACATTGCCATTATTTGAGATGACCGCATTTACATGTTCGCCCTTCTGTTACATCTTACATTATCTTTAAAAGTTTATATCTGCTTTTTCTGTAGCAGAGTACAGTAAATTTGCTTGTGATTTGCTTGTGAAAGTACACTAGTATATTTGAAAATATAGCTGTATATAACAACATCGACATGTTTACATATGTAACCATCATGATATTTAGCTAAATCGTTCTCAGTATTTTCTTATGATCTCGATCACACAGTCAATATAGAAGTTCCGCTATTCGTATGGTCAAGCAGATTTTTTAGGGTGTTGCTGGACTTCTCTAGGGGGATGCTAGACACCACTGGATTGGTTGCGTACCCCCACCTGGATCATACTGCAAGAATGAATATCAGCTAAAACTGTATTCGACAATACTTCTACTTACATTTACTCTTGGCAACGAAGAAACATCCCACGCACTGCTTTCATAATCTCCCCATGTGGCCAATACTGCAATTATGATGTGATGCATGAATGATTTCTATGCCAACAGAAAACTATACAACAAGAAAAGAGATAGAAAATCATGTCTTTTAACGACATATACCAGGAGGAATAAAGAAGAAGAACTTTGATAATATGGCTACAGTCTCTAATGCTTTTCTGTGGTATCCACGCACCCATTCCTGTGGGAATGGCATGTGAGACGGTAACAAAGTAATACCAGTGGTCTTCTGTTGTCATATCTATGATGGCAGAACTAACTAATAGCAGTTGCTCAAGCCTAACTAATAGCAGTTGCTCAAGCCTTTGGGTACGGACAGCTTGCTACTTGGCCGTACTTTACAACATTGTAAGTATATAGCAAGACTATACTCAGAGAGTTTTGGGGGTCTTAGCGGATGACAGCTGTCAGCTTAAAATTCTATAGCCAATTATCAGTGTATCAATAAGATAGTTTGTAAGATGACAGTTCCAAATTGCTGTTAGATAATTGCTGTATTTCATCGTTTGCAAGCAATCAGTTAAGATACTCGCCAGTTTCAGCAAAAAATAACTAGCACAATTTGAGCAACCGGTTAACCCATACCTAATGTAACTATGTTTTACCAGTGGTGCCAAGTTGGACAAATATTGAGTGTGGGAAACTATAAATGCTCGCTTGTATTTATGGTTCGAAGTTAACTGTAACCTATACCTAATGTCACTATGTTTTACCAGTGGTGCCCAGTTGGACAAATATTGAGTATGAGAAACTATAAATGCTCGCTTGTATTTATGGTTCGAAGTTAACTCATGTTCCCAACACAATATTAGTGACGTAGTGTATGGATATTCAAGTAATACCCAAAGAGTAACACCCAAAGAATAATACCCAGTAGATTTTCTCAGAAGACATCCTAGTTTCAATGTAGATACCTAAGTGGGGTTAATGTTTGCTTGTTCCCAGCTTGTTTACAAGCTGTCGATGTAGTTAGTGGGTTAGTGCTGACAACTTGCTACAAGGTTTGGTGACTTGATACAAGTCAGTCGAGTCTCCAAACCTGTGTAAGCAAGTGGTCAATACTTATACAACGTATTCCTATACAACACAGTGAAAAACATTTCACAATTCCAGTAACTTGGCAATCCTATTTCACGCCTAAGTCGGCTATGGCTATGGCAATACAATGTTACAGTTATTTCAAGTAGCACTTCAGTGTTGGATTTAAAGCTATTTTGGACTCCATTATGGTGCTTGGTCATGAGCACCAAATTCCGCATTCAGGTCTAAGTGTTGCTGAGTAACATACGAGATTAAATCGCATCTATTGTTTTTATGAACATTGGGTCAGACATCGTCCTACAGAGAATAACTGTTTCGAAACTACAGAGCTTGAATAAATTAAGCGTATTATTTGTGATCATTGTAGCATGTCTTCTATTGACGGAACCCTGTCGGTAGTGCAAACAAACTTGTTCTCCGAGGTGTTGGAATAATAACGTGCAGGGACATTGGATTTTAAAAAGGCTCAATTCAGTGTATATAAAGTATATATGCCGACTGCACGGCAGCTTTCTTCACGACCTCGTACCCAGGGTCTTCACTCTTGCAGAAGAGTAATGACCAGAGAATAAAGATCGTGGGTGCGGGTTTTCACTTGTTTCCATCTACCAAACTGAGGTTACGTCATTTTATCAATTTCTAAAGTAGTTTCTTTTTGGACTTTTTTAATTAATTTGGTTAGGGTTAGGGTTCAGGGGCGTAGGAACCTTCGAAAAGTTGGAGGGGCCAGGCTTTGAGGGGCACTTTTCGAACAAAAAAGGGCATCTCCAAATTTTTTGTTGGCGACCTCCCCCCCTTTTTTCGTAAATACTAAAAAAATTTTCCGGAATACAAACAAAATTTTCGGGATATATGATTTTTTTCCGGAATTTTTAACATTTTTCAGGAAATAACGTACATTGAAGTTTTCAAAAGTGCTCCTTGGGCTAAAAATATAATTTTAATGAAAAATTTTCACGCACAAAAAGGGCACTTTGCTTCCGGAAAAAGGGCACTTGTCAAAACTTGGGGGGCCTTGGCCCCCCTGTCCCCCCCTGTTAGAGTTAAGGTTTCGGATAGGGTTAGGAGTTAGAGTGGGGGTAGGGTTTGGGTTAGCTACATAGCCATTTAAAACTACAATGATCACAAATAATGCGCTTAATTTATTTCGAAACAGTTATTCTCTGTAGGACGATGTCTGACCAGTGTTCATAAAAACCAATACGGATGCCATCTAAACTCGTTTAGTACTCAGGAACACTTAGACCTGAATGCGGAATCTGGTGCTCATGTCCAAGCACCATATTGGTGTCCAAAATAGCTTTAAATCCAACAAGTGCCACTTGAAATAACTGTAACAATTTGTATTGCCATCAGCCGACATAGCGTGAAATACGATTGCCAAGTTACTGCAATTGTGAAATGTTTTTCACTGTGTTGTAGGAATACGTTGTATCAGTTAAAACACCTCTTCCATCTTCAGAAAATGACGTCACGTCAGTTTGGTAGATGGAAACAAGTGCTGACCGTGGGTGCGAGGTTACTTTCATTGTAGCCAGTTCGCAGGCTGTATATCGTTGCGCGCTGATCCAGGTGCGACCACAATAGGGGTTTGTGATATTCCCTAACAGCGACAAAAGAAAATTCAATACTTATTACAAGTCAATGTTACAGTAATGGTGTGTGATACAGCATTCTCTCTCCCTTACGTTCAAGCAGCTCATATTACATACTTTGGGGGCAAATTATTTGTTTTTAGGCAGTTTTCGCGGCAAATTTCATATTATATGTCAATGACAGATCATCGTGGCAAGATGACTCCAATACAGGTAACATTGTTCTCTTGTCCCAAATTGGAGTTTCCTTCTTCAGAAACATTTAATTTTCATTGTACAGAATTAAGGCCCCGTTTACACTATACCGGATTGCTATCGGAGTGGGTCAAATTTTGTAGGTATCGAAAGGCTGTGAAGATTTTTAATCTCAGAGACCCAAATAAACATGCCAATTCTGTCAAGCTAATAAGCATTTGCTACTAACCATTGCTCCGTAACGGCAAAAGAAGATGTCGTGACCAGCGAATCCGGTATAGTGTAAACAGGGCCTAAGGCTACTTGTACGTTCTGTCCAAACTGCTCTTTCCTAGAGGGTTAGGATAAAATACGGATACGGCTGGATGGAACGTATATGGGCATATATGCGGAACGGATATGGGGATAAAATGCGGCACGGATCTTCAAGAAATTTAGAGGATCCGGAGAAAACCTGTGGTGTTTGGCAGAGTTAAGGAGGGGGGTAGGATTCCTGTCATGTGCGTTTGAGAAGAAATGTAATCAGACAAATGATAGAAGAGGCTGGATAGCCTCACAGAGGTGCCACCAACACCTAAGCAATTGTTTCTATCTTAAAACAGAGTGGGTTTGCTGGCAGTGGGTGGATCTTGCAATCTCTGGTGTATCCATACTCGCCGCATTACTTCTATACTGCGCACTCATTACGGTAGGTGTGAACATCCAATATATCTCCGTATTTTTCTTTCTAGATAGCATGATGGGGAAAAAATAAAAGCCCCAGTCAAACGAGGATGAGAGTTGGAAAAAACTCTCATCAAAAGTTAAGTTGATGAGAATGAATGGGAGGCTATGAATGGGAGGGAACTGCGGCAATCGATACACCAGGCGGAAATCTTAGTTTAAAGATAAAGAGCAAAGCCCAGCAAATAACTTTAAAACCAAACATAATAAAAGGAAAAATTTAATTAGCTAACGTTTCGTTGTTTACAATACAACATCATTTAGATTGCTCTGAAGATGTTGTATTGTAAACAACGAAACGTTAGCTAATTAAATTTTTCCGTTTATTATGTTTGGTTTTAAAGTTATTTGCTGGGCTTTGCTCTTTATCTTTAAAAGTTGAAACAGTTCAATGTTGATGAGAATGGATGGGAGTTGATGATAGTTGGCGCTCAAATCCCCGAGAGAGAGAGTTGCAATTCTCATCGACTCTCGCCCTCGTTTGACTGAGGTTTACCATCTTTTCAAGCGTACCTTACACTTTGGGAATAAGTGCAACATTCACTATTTTGAATACAAACGCAACTGAACATATATTTGTTCATTGGTTTTGGTAATATATGCATGTACAAAATGAAATAAAAAATGAGAAAAAAAAACCCAACTTCACATACCCCCGTACGTCGTCTCCTCCGCCCCACACAGTACGCTCATTCGCCGAAAAGATGTGGCCACGTAATCTTGTGAGTTTTAACCGTTCCACACAAGGTACCAACAAATACAGTCCAGGGAACAAAGAGAAGAAGCTCAAGGCATTTCACCCCCACATATACAGTATTTTCTTTGATGAACCTGGACATTCTTTTATTTGTAGGGTAACCACAGGCTTCTCCAAGTATTTCTAAGTTGGACTGTTTTCTGCATTGTTTTAAGTATTTTGGTGTTGGGCTTCGGGTTTAGAGAGGTAACATTATATTTCATCTTTATCCTCTTTTTTAACAGCATAAAATAAGCCATCCTCTCTAATAAGCGCCGCCCTTTAGAAGAAGTTTGAACTTGTTTATATAATTTTTGCAACAATGTTTTTTAATCATTAATTTCTAGCTTGAACGTGGCCACATTTTAGCAAGGTGTATTGGAATTGTGGTATCGGTAAGGCAATGTAGAAGTTAGTTTCTTAGCTTGTTTTGATTTCCTGTCAGTAAGATGAAAAACTAATGAGTTAAATTATTTTTCTATAGGCGTATTTTGCTGATGTTGTATTCTCTTACTATTTAAAATTAAAAGAATCTGGACAAGTGGCATCAAGGGAAAGCCAAAATAGACAGGTGAAAAAGGGCATTCTACGAGAGTAGAGAACAGTACAGTACAGTACAGTATAGTATGGCTAAGTATAGTTTTCAGTACAGTATAGTATAGCTAAGTATAAACTACTCATCTTATTTTATTACATTCCAAAACGTGACTGCAATATCAGAGTGCTACGAGTACTTAGTACCAATAGTACAAGCACCAGCATTAATGTCTTATTCACCACATTTTAAACCTGTTGATAAAACGGTGATCTATTTTTCTAGTCATATACACTGGAGCCCATTCCGCCTGGCTACCCTGGTCAATCAGATATGGTCAATGGTGGTTTTTATATAGAGGATGAAACATCAAATACTGAACTGCAAAACAATAACATAAGAAATGTCTGTCTATGGTATGAAGATACCAAGTTTTGAATGATATTAAAAGAGAATTTAAAAACGAACAGAAAATTATAAATATAGGACTCTTTTTAAAGAGAAAACGTTTTAATATATATAAAACTCTTTAATGCACTTGCGAAGTCGGTATGGTTGTGTAGAATGGAGGATTTAATATTGAAGTGGACTATATAAGCAGAGAATTGGCACTTTAATGTTCAAATAGTTCAGAAAAATATTAAAGATAAATTGGCCATATTTAATATCAACGATCGACGAAGAATTCAGAACAGCAAAACAAAGAAGCATCAGTGAAGACGTATGGATAAGATGATGCATGGAAGCATCAGGGACGCCGGAACGATGTGAAGGCAAAGGGGGCAGATTTTCGTGAAAGGGCACTTTTGAATTGATATATACTAAGAGATGTTTGCAAAACATCGGGAGTTGAACTTCGCCTAATCATGCTTTCTATTTATTGGATGATAGAGGTGTGAGGGGGTTCTCCGCCAGGCGATTGTGCTATTCTTAAAGCTCGATGACTGCATTTCTTGCGTTTTCTAAAGCAAATTCGTAAAAGAATTGCACTAACATTTCTGACAATTCGCTATTTCGCCAAGGCAATCTTTTAAATTGAAAGGGCACCTTTGCCCCCCTAAAGGGCAATGGGGGCGGCTGCCCCTCCTGCCCTCCCAGTTTCGGCGTCCCTGGGAAGCATAGTCGGCTATCAAGATATGATGGTCTGAAAACTAAACAGAAGTCATTGTATTATGTTTTTGTATTTTCTTTTTGTTTGTGCACGGTCATAGTGATTGAGCTCATTGTATTTTTGTATAATAAAGTAATTGTCCAATAAGGATAGCTGAGATAAAACGTGCAACCACGATAAATAAAATTAAAGTTGAGACAAAGGATTTGTGCAAGACGACGAGGTAAAGTTCAGCATCAAACGAAGGACTTCTATTTTGTGCCCTTAGCAAAGGTCTTCCAGATTTGCCGGTTTTCCAGACCATCATATCTTGACAGACTACGATAGAAGACTGGAAGTGGACAGGGCACATACGTAGAATAGAAAATAAAACAGCAATTGTGCAATAACATCGACGCGAGAACCAGAAGGGCGAAAGAAATTAAGTGGGGTGTCCAAGAACTGTACATGGCTATATTGGCTATACTGGTGTGACCGTCACTGGTTATTGGCAGTGAGCCCCATATATATCTGGAGTGAGAATTCGACCACAAAAAATGAAGTCAGCTTCGTGTTAACCGCGCAGCCGAAAAACAATAGAAAGGGACTGGAACTGACGACGTTCAATAGCTCCTTCAATTTCCACCATCTTGGCAAGGAGTGTGCCGAAATTTCGTAATTTGACTTCGATTTAAAGAATAATACTATGGTTTTATGAACTGATAACTTGGTTAGCAAATAGCAATACGGTCGGTTAGAATTAGCTGGGGAAAAATGGTATAAAAACTGTTAGTCCAGTCAATCTGTGACCAGAGATCAAAGAAATTGCAATAGAAATTTTTCCAGTGGTAAAATGTGAGGGAAGGTGTCCTGATTAACATACTAAAAATCCCAAAAAATTCCTTCGGTGGAACATGGTGAAAATCGAGTTTTTCTTACTTCTACCTATAGAAAACCATTGTGGACGGAATGTTCAATTTTTGAAATCGTTTTTAGGCAAATGTAACCTACATTATTGGAAAGCTTAGAAAAAACTAAAATATAGATCATTAAACGGTTATATTCAATTTACTGGTCAGTTTGTCGTTATTCTAGCTCAAAGTTGGAAAAATAGTGCAAAATTTGCACAAAATACAAATTTATGGCATTTTAAATCTTGTATAACTTCGGCTGGATGGACAAAAGCAAGATAACCGTTTAATGATTTATATTTTAGTTTTTTCTAAGCTTTCCAATAATGTAGGTTACATTTGCCTAAAAATGATTTCAAAATTTCAACATTCTGTCCACAATGGTTTTCTATATGTAGAAGTAAGAAAAACTCGATTTTCACCATGTTCCACCGAAGGAATTTTTTTGGATTTTTAGTATGTTAATCAGAACAACTTTTCTCACACTTTACCACTGAATACAAATCTATTGCAATTACTTTGATCATGAAATGTTTGTCTAGACTCGTTTAGATCAAAATTTAGTCTATAATGCAAATGGTCCATTGAACCAGGGTTTATTTTAACGTGCAGTTCTACACAAAATGTGCAGTTCTAAACCCATTTGTGCAGTTCTTAAAACACAAATGTGCAGTCACCAAACTAATAAAAATAGCCTTAATTAAAACAGTCTTCCCATTTACTCGTTACCCTCATTTACTCGTTACCCAGAAAATTCCAGAAATGCTGTCATTAATTGAGCATCAAAAATATAAACGTTTTCTGGGGGAGGACTCCAGACCCTCCTATTTTCCTCACAAATAACTTACGTGCTGGGGTAATGGAAAAGAAGGAAAAATTGGGACGAGCGAAGCTCCCCAAAAGAGATTAGAGTGGGAGGATCTAATATTCTTTGCTGCCTCAAACGCAAATTTAAGGTTGTTATATATTGAATATTCATGATTCCCAGTTACATGTTTTGAAACAGTTTTTGTGAGTGGTTGGGCAAAACAAATCTTTGCCAGAACTTAAGAGCCTCTAGATTCAAATTGTTTTGGAGATCACCCCCTAGTTCCCGCAGCCAAAATCGAGTTTGTCGGGCCTTTCTCCAATTCTCCAACCCAACCACACCATTATTCTGTCACCTATT